ACAGCTCCTGAAGGCGTGTTGCTCTATGTGTTCAACCACCCTGAAGAAGGGAATTCTAGGCTGCTTCTACCATGCACGAATCACACCACGATTAGGGCTGGTGAGAACATCGACTTCGGCCCACCATCCTTCATTCTCTACGATTCACAAGTCGCCCCTGCCTCTCCACCGCCTCAAGCAATGCACGAGGACGACCAGGAGCAAACCCAAGACGCTCCTGATGATTATGCACCAGAGCGGTTCTTTTTCGAAGAATACAAAGCCCCAAGGCAGACCAAAAGCGAGAGAGAAGCTCACAAGCGCATAGGACTCCTGCAAGGGTTGGGAAAGTTTCAAGGGAAGGCAATGCGAGGATTGTCAAAGAAGGTAGACTCATTGACCACCATGGTGAAGAAGATGGCGCTTCAGATCACAGATCTCCAGAAGAAGTCCAAGCATTCCCCATCATCATCAGAAGAGAAAGGTACTTTGAGAAGAAGCGGTTCCACAAGCATGGCTCCAAGACACGCGGTAAGGGCTGATCCTCCCAGATTTTCATCCTTTGAACCACGCCAGAGGGAAAACCAAGAGGAGTCTGCACAACTCCCTAGACGTTCGCAAAGGCATCACAATAAGCGGAAGGCTCAGCGGTCAAGTCCAGAGGCGGACTCGACCAGGGAGCTCGATGACACGTCGAGTCTACACATCGAGCAGGAACCGCCAGCGCCAATTGCTCCTTCTTACACGCAGACGGGTTTTGACAACGAGCATGAACCTCCAGAGTCAAGCACAGCTCCTTCTTACACGCAGGAGAGCATGGATGAGTTCCTCGACACCTACTTCGCCTAAACCCAAAGTATCACTCATCCCCCTAAACCATTGTATTATTTCATTGCATTAGTTTGCTTTTCTGTTTCGTTGTTTGTTTCTCTTGAGCTCTCTTTCTGAATTTTTATTACACAAGGGACTGTGTAATTTAAGTTTGGGGGAGGGTCCAGGAAGTATTTGATGTTATGTTCTGTTTTCTTACTGCATAATCATCTAAGGCATAGAAAAACCAAAAAAAATTGAAAAATTTCGAAAATTGTAATACAAAAGAAGATTGTTCATGCATTCATTTAGGACTGCTGCATCATGCATTTGCATTGGAGATTATGATGATTATAACCTTGTAAATATGCATATTCATTAAGTAGAACTCAGTGCCCAGGTTGTTAGTTCTCTAATGCATAATCGACTGAACTTGAAGTAAGACCGCACCATCTTTTGAATTCAACGCTTGACTTTCTTGTTTTTAGTCGAAACTCGCTTTGATCTGATGCCATTCCCTATCTATTTGAACTTGAATTTTGACTTATAATTATCATGCTGTGCATTGTGCTATGAACTCATGGATACCTTAAAATACTTGGACTTTCTTTTACCTTTTGATCACTCTTGCTAGTCCAAGTAGCTGACTCCCATCTTTGGAGCAGTTATTCCCCACCCTTAGCCCTAACCTTCCTTCAAGCCATTTATCATTTGTGTGTGAATGTGAGGCCTTATTCCGATTGAGCTTGGTAGAAAGTGTTAGGTCTGTAACGACAAGGATAGTATCTCATGTAGTTCTGGTTCACGTTATCTGGACCAGATAGGACTAGGTGGGTGCTTACATTCTGGGTTTGGGTTGTGTTTAAAAGAAAGAAAAGGTTGTGTTCATCATTGAAAGAAAAGAAGAGGGAAAAGAGTCCTAAGGAGAAGTAGCTAAAGTAAGAGAAGTCTAGTAAAGGATTTGGGTGTGCTAAAGTAAAGGAAAAAGGGTTCTGTAAATAGCTTAAAGAGAATGGGCAAAAGCCTTGTGTTTATAAGAAGAAAGAAAAGGGAACCCTAGTTGTTAAAGAATCCTAATCCGCTAGACAAGGTAAAAAGAAAAAGAAAGCTTCTCCTAGGATAGAAAGCAAAGAAAAGAAAGGAATGATTTGAGTAAAGTCTGTAAATGCTTTGAGTGCAAAAGGGTAGAGTTAAGTTCATGATTCTGGGATTAGAAATAGGACCTCTATTTGGGTTGATATTGATTACATTCTGGGTAGATGGGGTTCTATCCTTGTATGCATAACTTGATACTCACCTTTAGCATTCTACTAAAGCTCAATCATTCTTGAGAGATCCCCTGTGACGATTTAAACCAGATCTTTAAGGGACCATCTTTGTCTCTAGACCTCTACCCTTAAGCCAAATGTGTTCATATCCACTGCATAGTATGATTCACGGTTCCTGCTTAATCAATGTTAAAGGGAATGTGCTGATTTGAATGCTTGAATTGATTAAGGCAGAGGTTAGGTTGAGATGTGAAGGAGATGGCTAATGTTTTTAAGTAGAGATCAGTCAACCTTGCATTCTAGAATTAGCAACCTGGACATTGAATTCACTTACTCTATATGCATGTTTTTGGTTATGAGTCTCCACCTTCAAACCTCTTCTCCAGCTTAGTTCTATTTGTTTGCTTGAGGGCAAGCAAGAGCTAAGTTTGGGGGAGTTGATGTCTCTGTATTTTACCACTTTTAAGCACACTTTTCTCGTACATTTAGCTAAGTTTCATCTCTCTTTCATTGCATCCAGAGTCCTTTTCATAACATTTTCATCACTTAGTACGATTTGCATTGCATGGCATAGCATGTTGCATATTGGATGAGTTTCAGGTACTTTGGAGCTTATTTGGGACTTAATGGAGCAAGGAGGAACCAACACGACCTTGGAGCTAGACTTGGGATCGAGTTGGAGAGGAATGAAGTCGTTCAAGATCACCCAGGACTAGACTTGACATCATGGCTCGACTTCACGTCGAGTAGGATGCCAGGAAGCCGCCTGGGAGCAGACTCGACCACACGGACTCGATGACACGTCGAGTAGGACGCCAGAAGGAGCTACCTTTGAAGAATCACACGGGCTCGACATGGTTGGCTCGACTTCACGTCGAGGGGGTGCTCCGCCGACTTCTTATTTTGTCTTGTAGCCAAATTAGGGCAACCTAGTATTCCTATAAATAGGGGTTCACGCTATTATCCAGCGGATATTCCTTTTACCCAGCAGATATTCCGCTGCTCTCTCTAAAAACTCTAGTTTTGTAATCGTTTTTCCCTTTGAATCTTTGAGATTTTGAATTTCGTTTCTTCATCAAAGGTGTAGATCTCCTTCTCATCTATAACATACTTGCTTTTCAATGATTTCTGGGTTTGTGCAATTTTCTGGGTTTTTATGCATGATGTTCTTCAGTGTTCTTGAGTAGTGGATTAGGGTTCTTGAGGATGGGTTAGATTAGGTGTGGAATCCTTAGTATATTTAGGTGGTTAAGTGTAGAATTGCTTGATTTCCCTTCTGGTTTAGTAGATCTTAATGCTATTTCTTCTCTGATCAATTGGAAATTGATTTTAGACATTTCCATGCCCACAAGGTGTTTGATGTCTAGCCCAAGAGATTGGAATGTCTGAACAAACTTTTCCAGAGATTTGCATACTCTAGCCCAAGAGATTGGATGTTTAGAATGCTTATTGACTATATTAGATTGAATCATAATGCCTGCTAGGTTATATTTCTTCAATGAGAATTGATTATGAAAGTGATTTAGCTTGAGAATCTCTGTCACGAGAGTGGATTGATTTGTATTCGAATCTATTGTCTAGGGATAGCTTGATTGAGTTTGTTAACCACCTAGATAGACTAAGGAGACTACTATAATCGATTATCCCGTTCCTCAAGACCTTTTATCTCTATTGATTGCTTGAATCTTGCTTACTTGTTGTTTACCTATTCTCTGCACTTGTTGCTTGCTTATTGCTTAGTATCGATAGCTATTTCTCTTTATGCATGTTCGCTTAGGATTGTTAGATAAACAAACCTCTATTCTGCTTGGCTTGACTTAGTATTCTCTGATCACATCTTGATTGATAATTAGAGTACCTGATTGGATTGATAACCTAAATTGCTGCAATGACATGATAGTAATCTAGGGTAATTGATAGTAAAAATCCTAGTATCAGATCTCCAAGCGGCAGTCGCATACACATCATCAACATATGGATATAGACATTTGCCTATATCATAAGCTCCTTTTATGGTGTGTCTACATATAAATATAAACATTTGCCTATATCAAAAGTTCTGTCAAATGGGTTTAATTCCCAACAAACTTTAAGCAATTACCAAATAACACCGTGTAAGTTATATTTAAACTACTTTCATCCGATTAATATAGTTTTTTTCTTGTATAGTAAATTTTTCTAATTTTGGGACTAGAATATTTATTAATTTAGGGATCATTGAACCCTCTGCGATCCCTTGAATTTCCAACGTTTTTCTCATATTGATTTACCTGCTTGTTACCAGCTTTCTTATTTACTTTACTTGCAACCGTGACACCAACAACAACCCCTCTTTTATTGATTTGTCCTAGCTTTACCCTATTATGACGGATTCGTTTGAAATACTTCTCTCTCTGTGGGATTTGATCCTTAAATACTACAGACGATTAATTGTGCACTTGCAGTAGTCGTGTGATCTTTTGAGGTAAAAGATTGAAGCGGAAAAACACACGCATCATGTTCGCTATAATTGACCGTACATATTTTATTACACTTCGAATCTAATGCATGAGAAACTTAAATCCTTCTAGGATTCTCATGTATAAATCATTATCCAATGATCCATATAAATATGATGTCACTACATCCATAAGATACGTTTCACTACAAGAAATATCTACATTATTAGTATGAGAGAAGAGCTATAATATGTCATTAATAGCGTTTTCATAAACGCAGTTTCTGCCCCAGTTATTATAGACCCCCCACATACGATAGCGGTTTTTGATATGCTATGAAATATCGATCTATTATAGTGCTAATCGAATGCTATTATATACTTTATTGTAACACACTTTTAATGCTGTATTATATAGTATTGTAGCATTTGTTTTTTGTTTTTAAATTTAATTTGATTTATATATAATTTCTATATTTGATCCCAGTTTTGCAATATTTATTCAATTGGATTTATATAGATTTTTTTATTGCATAAATTATCAAAAACATTCATTAAACAAAACATATATAACATGTATTACATACAATAAAATAACTAATCTTCATAGCCTAAAGTCTTGGATCATACAAAAGAATAAGCCTTTGTTGTAGAAGCTTTCTTACTTGTAGCGAAGCCACTCTTTTCAGTTGCTCATTTTGCCTTTCCTGATTCGTCAATGACACCTGAAATAACTTACACGAACAAACTAGTTTGCAGAATAAACTCAAAAAATAAGATTAGTTTGCAGAATAAGCTCACATTAGATAAAAACAAGACAAAAAAAATAGCCACGCTGAACCTTTCTGCAAACTACCATAAAGCAACCAAGCTATACACCAATGCTTATTCCAGACAATTGCTGAAATTAAACCTACAAAACTCTACAATATAGACATGTATCCCTAACCACCTAATCTTCATCAGTCTAACTCTCACACAGTTCTCTCCTTTATGACGTTCACATTAGAAGTATCAATTGCCAAGAAACTAAAAGATCAAAAGCTGAGTTGCAGAGTAAGGAATATAGAAACATGGAAAAGTATGGAAACATTTGGCACGAGCAGTGACCATGACGGCCATGGGCTGTGCCTCTCTCAATTCCTTCCCAATCATCATCATCTTCTTCAATAGTCAACTCTGTTTTCTCTTCATTCTCTGCTTCAGTTTCACTCTCCTCCACTGTATTACTACTCTCTTCAACCCTAAGCTCCTCAGATTCAGCGACTACGACATCTCCACCACCTTCTTTTCTTTTCGTCGCCGTATTACTACTCTCTTCAACCCTAACCTCCTCAGATTTAAACTGGAGAACTATGAAGCAAAGATATATACACCATTGTGTTATAACATAAATGAACATGAAATAAAAGTCATGTTCGCAAGTGGAGTTGCAGTAAAATAAATTAAACACACTTGTATCATACTCAGATCTTAAATTGCATTAGATAAAGAAAAACATAAACAATCACCTCCAATTCAACTTCAAGCTCCTCCTTCTCATGTCCAGTTGCAATGGGCATTACATCCTCTACCTTCTTCTCCGCATGAGTCTCTACTGCAAAATGCGAGTCCATGTGAGCCTTAACTTGTTGCAGATGCTGAAGCAAATAAGAGAATCCAAAGAAGCTGAAGAGAGAAGACACAAATAGAATTATAAATGCTTGACTCCAAATATAACATATACAACTTTCTCTTTAGTATATGCGGTTCCCTTCACATATGAACATATTCCCATCAAGAAATAATATGAAAGGAAAAGCCTCTTAACACTAAACCAACATTCTGAATCAAAAAAATCAAACGCAAAGAGAAAAAGCAGTGAGCTTAAGTTAAACACGTTCCATAACACAATTAAGAATCTTTGGATCCAGAAAAACTCAATTGAGGCGTTACATGAGAAACCGAAACACATTCCCTGCTCATACACAATCTCTCATAATTAAGAGTACCTTTTGGTTTTTAAGCTTCCAATTTCCAAATTTTTTTAAGAAAACTAAAAACCCTAAAGTAACCAACTGAGATAGATTACCATTTTGCAAGGAGTATGAAGGCAAAGAAGAAGAAGAGTCATTGAATTTGTGCTTCTCGAAGTAATCCCTCTGGCGGGAGTTAGTTAACCAAGAGCTTCGTCATTGGTTTCAAGGAGAATCCATGTCGTTTCACTGCAAAACCGACGAGCACTGAAGAAAAAGAGAGTAAGCGATGATTGGAGTTGACCACCATTGGAGGAGAAGCTAAGCTTTCGTTCGTCACAAATCGAAGAAAGAGAGGGAGATCTGAGATCGGAGAGACAAGTGGGAAGATTGAATGGTGGAGGAGTAGATCGAAGATAAAAGGAGGCTGAGACTGAAAGGTAATGACGGAATCGACGCGAATTGAGGCTGGCGACGAGCTTCACGGTGGAGTCGGAGTCGAAAAGGAAGAGACCTAACTTTTTTGATTTGGGAGATTTTTTTTTTGGAAATATTTGTTAGGTTTTGTAATAGAAGGGAAAGTTTTATTGGCTTAAAAATTTTTGGATCTGAAACATATGGAGGCTAAGTGAATTTTTTCGTCTAAGTATTGGCGGAATAAGTGTTTTCATCTTCCCGCTTATTGATTTTCTATCTTAACGTTGTCTCGGTGCTATGATATAGTAATCAAAATAAAAAAATTATCTTTCATAACAGTTACGATAAATGAGCTATGCTTAGATGCTATCAATGTGGATATTTCTTGTAGTGTTTCTAAATTATTAAGGACCTGAATATGATTGTATTCATGAACGGGATATATTTTTTTCATAATCAGCTCTCAAGTCTTTGAGAAAAACTTTGTTCAATAAGTTGTGCTTTATATTGTGTGATTTCATCTTTTTGACACAAATACCCACTTGCACACAACAAGTTTTAATATTTAGATGTAGTGACAAGATGTCCAACGAAATCTATTTTTTATTAAGGGAGAGCAATTTAATTTGCATTACATTTTTTCATTTCTCTCAATCAAGCCTTTGCTGGAACTGATACGGATTCTAGATCTGGATCATCATTATCAATTTCATTGTTATACCGAGATGACTTGACCGGTTGAACTTTTCTTGAAGCATCAGTAAACTTCATGTTTACTACTATAAATAAATTTGACATCTTTATTTTGCATAATGTAATCATATATTTGTATGTCTCTATTGTGGTCGAACACTGATACCACAAATATTCACAGTCTCAATATAATAATTACAAAGAAGAATGTCTTTGAAACTTCGCGAGTTTCTTTGAGAATTTGGAGAATGCAAGACATCGATTATTATGAATCTCATGCATTTGGAATTCGAAAGACTAGCTCATCTAGACCTTCCAATTATTTTCCACTGTCTAAAAATATATCGACATGTGTTTCATATATTCTTATAAAAAGATATATATTTTTTATTTCAAAGACATACTTCAATGTCTTTAAATCTCATATAATACATATATTTATTTTTTAATAAAGAAAAAAAATTAAAAATTATAAACTCACAAAAATAATAATTTATGGACTGTAACCTTTTCATACAAGAATTCAGGAGGTAGAGCCTTCCATATAAGAATTGCATAGGCATAGTTTTATTTGATCGTAGAAAAGGAGGCAGAGCCTACCATATATAGCGATCAATCTGGAAAATATATACATTTCTATTTGATCGTAAGGAAGGTAAAACCAACCATGTATAACGATCAATCCGTAAAAAAACATCGCTTTTTGTTTGATCGTAAAAGAGGCAGAGTCTACCATATATCGATCAATCTAGAAAAGATATATCTTTTTATTTGATCGTAAAGGAGGCAGAGTCTACTACTTACAACGATCAATCCGGAAAAAGGCATAGTCTCACGATGTCTAAATAATTATGTTCTATAAGTATAAATTTTACTTACCTCGTAAATGCTCAAGCAGTAAAAACATCATGCTGATAACGTTTTAAATATTATATAACAGTTAAAGTAATAATAAATTGGGAATCTTGCGAGATGTACCACTTTCTGACGATTCCCTTTGAAATCTACTACAATTGGAAAAGGTTTTCTGTTTCTACCACTTTTTTTGCCATGTGATAATTTATGGACGAGTTTGCCCTTGATGGCGACAGACTGATGTGTCAGAAAAAAGGACAGCTGCATTAATTGCACTCGGGGACAATTTTTGTTACATTCAGGGACAAATTTTATTACACTCGGAGACAATTTTTTCGGAACTCCGTCGACGAAGCTTCACCGCTCCAAATCCTGTGAGCTATGGGAATCATCATCATCATCATCTAGACCGATCAAAACTCATTCGATTCGAAGAGTTTGTAGCGCAAATTTAGATCCATTCTCCGACGAAGAGTTTTCAAAAAAGATCCAAGAGCTAACTCTCAGATTCAATGTCCCAAACCAAAACGACGACGAGAATTCAGAGCCGATGATAATTCACGATTACAAAGCTAATTCAATCAAGCCACCATAGAATGAGATGGTTCATTTGTCGAGTATTGAAATGAAAGCAAACAGTGTTGATCTTCCTCTTTCACTTACTCGGGGACGAAGACGAAGATCTGGACTTACTCGGGGACAACTTTGTTTCGAAAGGTCACATCAACTGCAGTTTCTTATCTCACCAGTTGGAGGGTAAAATAGTCATTTTACAAACACAATGTGGTATGAATGATAATTGGGATTCAAATGTGGTAGAAGTGATAACTTTTAGGCAAAATGTGGTACCCAATCTAATTTTTCCTAATAAATTTTGTAAGAGGAAAAAGGAGACGGGAGACCAAGAATGAATTGTATTATTGACTTGTTTCTCCTCTCTTATATTTTCTACAATGAAACAAATGAATATATTTATAGAATTGTTAACTTGGGGAGGAAGTCACTTGGTGACAAAGTAATCTATACTATTAATTGGGAAGCATTCCCTGAAAAATAACCTTAAAAAGTGTAAAAAATTACAAGGGAATGCCATTACAATTTCAGTATTAAACAACAAAAAAAAACATTTCAAAAAGGGTAAAATCGTAAAATTGCCTCTGTTGGGACGCGGATCTCGGATCCTATACTCGGGTCCTTTGGTAAAACACGCGGATCTTGGTACTTGGACATTTCGATCCGTATTAATCACACATCTCATTTCGATCCGTATTACTCGCACATCTCCACCTTATTGGGCTTCACGGATCAAAGCCTTTGTGATGTTCTCAACACTGATCGAGATCTGTTGAAGTTAATGACATAACCAAATTAAATTCCTCACTTAAAAGAGATTTCTATAACAAACAAATCAAATTTAATCCGTTTACTAGATATGGACAGATCTCTTTAAATACGAATTCAGTTATTAGTTTTTACCAAAAAACTATAAAATCTATAAATCCAAATCTTAACAAATCAAGCATATACCTTAACAATTCTTATTCGCAAATATTTATTTTGATATGATTCTCTAAACCCTAAAGAAAAACTAGCCGACGTCTACTAATATAAATATAGGATGTAAAATGCCATTGAAGATACACACTAACCTTTCTTAGCGACTACTCTTCTCTCTTCTCTTTCTGATCATTTTTAAGAAAATGGCTGCAATTCTTGCATTCACCAAGTTAAAATTGTGCATTCGTGGACTCAAACACCCAATACAATGGGAAACAATGAAAATGATTCTTGCCTGATATAGCTGTAAGTATAGATTTCATTTTCTCTTCATATTATACTAATTACAAACGTATATTAATAATTAAGGTCATCCTATTATTAACACGAGTGTATTTATCTTCTTTATAGGGTACTTTGATTTATGCTACTATTAAAAAACAAGTGAACAAGCTTCAAAGGTTCATCAAATCTTGAGAGGAGAATTGTGAAAAATTTTACACTTTTCAAATCTATGAAGAAGTATCAGGTAACAAAACATGGGTTTAAACTGCGAGACACCGGGTATTTTCAGAAATTAAACTAGATATATAATTCACTAGCACAAATAAATCAGTTTTTCAAAACCTATAAGACAATGCTTTGCAAGAGACATTTGATCTAAGAGGTCACAACCTATAAGAAATGATTGTTATCGATGTCTGCTATACTATAATAATCTCATTTTTTATATGTGTCTACAGGTACAAGTTGGTTTCAAAACTTGCATTTAAAGAGATTTGGTGTTATTGAAATCATTTTCCATGGAAGAAATGATGTTTTTTAGAATCCCAAATCTGTTAATTTCTTTTTTCCTTTTTCAAAGAACTTAAACATTTAGATCAAAACACGAACTTATTTTTTCAAAAGTTTACTGTATTTTTAATTTCATATCAGGCAATATGACGTTAACGTTTTCATAAACATAATCAATAAGGATGATTAAGTATTATCAAACAATAGCAGAAGTTAATCTATTGCTAATCTCTAATTTAGGTAACTCATTTTAACAGTGTTTGCATAAAAATTGATTCTATAACAATTCTACTAATTCTAATTGTATAACAACACCTACCAATTCATATATAACAATAGCTATATATTTTAATCAAGTAAACAAAGTTGTTATCCTTATTATCTTACTAACCTTTAATATAGTTCCCAGATTTAATCGACTGCTAAAAAGATGACATTGTCTCTGCTTCTTCCATAAGAATTTGACCTGTACATGATGTTTGGTCGGATTTTAATCTCTCTAGCCCTTTTGGGGAGAATCAATTTTTGGAAAACCCCTCTTTATTCTCACTACCCCCCTCCTTCCCAATTTTTTCATAAACCAACTCTACCCCTTATCCTTTTAATTCTACATTTAATTTAATGCCAACACATTTTTTATTCAACCAATCAAAAAATTTCCCACTCTTCTCTCATTAAAAAAAAACAACCTACCAAAATGTCTCACCTTTTACGATATTAAACCTACAAGACTTTCTTCTTCTTCTTCTTCTTCTTCTTTTTCTTCCTCTTCTTCTTCAACAGCTCCGACGTTGCAGCTCCGGCGTTCTTCAGTAGCTCCGACGTTGCAGCTCCGACGTTCTTCTTCTTCTTCTTCTTCTCCATCTACCATTGAAGCTCACCATTAAAGCTTGCATCTCCAAAGACATATCTCTTCTCTTCTTCTTCTTCTATTCCCACCATACTGTAAGGTAAGTATACTTGTTCTCTTAGTGTAGTATGATTAAATTGAATTCGTAGCTTGAATAGGGTTATTTGTTGAAATAATTTAGGGTTGCAGATTTTGGGACAACTGAAACCACTGGGTACAACTAAGTAGAATATTTACGGAAACCCTAAGTTTGGTGCAACTGGGACAAATGGGTACAACTATGTTGATGGTCTGCTACAAAAGTTGTGAAATTATAGGCCGTTTTTTCTCTCTTTGTTTTTCAGGGACAATGAAAAGGAATTCAGTCATACGCTTTACTTATGACGGATACTATACAAGTATCGGAGAAGATGTACATTGGATTTCTAATGGAGAAGATGAAGAAGTGTATTCTATTCTTATGAATAAATCGAAAGGGGAAGTATCATATGTTAAGATGGTTGAGAAGATTTGCAGAAAGAAAAAGGTAGATGAGGCTACGACAAAGCTGAGAGTTAGTTACTTTCCCTTCACATTCAAAGGACGTAAGCTAAGACCAAATTATATTCGTGATGATGAAGATGTTGTGTGTTATTATGAGGATGTGAGTGAAGAAGGGCTTATTTGGTTGATTTGAGAAGCAAAACATGCAATTGTAGACGTTTTGATATAGACAAGTATCCATGTGTGCATGCAATAGCGGCTACACTTACGGCAAACAAGGATGCAGCTCCCGATCTCCGGGCACATGATTTGTGCTCAAAGTATTATTGGATCGAGCTTTGGGTTTTGGCGTATACGAGGACAATTTATCCGGTTCCCCATAATAGTCAATGGGTTCTTCCTGAGGAGATAATGCAATTGTTTGCCTATCCTCCGGATTATGAGGTAAAACAAGGAAGAAGACAAGAAACAAGATTTCCCTCCGTTGGAGAACATAGAGGAAGAGGACGTAAGAAGAGGTCGCATGGATCGAGCGGTTTGGGCGTTGATGAAGACGATGGAGACGATGCGGGTGGCCAAAGTTGATTTCTCAATGCTATTTATTAGGTTAATTTAAAAACGATGTTGTTTGTATTGGTTTTGTTTGTGAAACTTATATGTTCTGTGTTGTACAACTAAGTTTTAACAGGTACAACTATGGTTGATTTTCTTCTCGTATATGTGCAAGTTGTCAGTCTGGGTACAACTAAGTACCACAGGTACATCTAAGGTCTAATGCCTTAGCCAATTTTCAGAATTTTATATAATATGAAAATTTAAAACCAAATTAAAAAAAACTTAAAAAATGCATACACGATGGTAATGAAACTACACAACAAGTTTTTGACAAAAAATTTCATATTTTTGAAAAATACTGAAATTCTTACTCAAAATCTCACATTCATACATTAACAACCTTATACTTTCATGGTTACTTTGTAGATTTGAACTAAAATTTTATAAATTTTTGAAATAATTGTATTTTGATAAATATAAATGCACAAATACAAAGTAATGGTATTTTTATGAGGCAATACCATCGGTTCGACCAACAAAAATTAAATTAGAGTTGATAACAACTAGATTTACTAAAATCTCTGTATTGTACAACTATGAGCAAAAATGTGCAACCGAGTACAACTGTACAACTATGAACAAATTTGAGCTATTATTTAATAATTGTTTTCAAAACAACGGCGCTAGGTATGCCATTTGTCAGATTTTTTCAGAATAACGGCGCCAGGTAGATTCACTATTTTTTTTTTTTCCAAAACCCTTACAAACCCACATATTTGTCAGATTTTTCGATTAATTTAGATTTTTTTTTTTTGGTTCAAAACCCTTAGATTATATTCAATACATAGATTCATACATAAAAATATTAAGATTCAGATTAAAATATTCATACATAATTAGATAATTAGATTTTTTTTTTGGGCAAATTTTAGATAATTAGATTCAGATACAAAGATTCATACCTAATCAAAATACATAAACCCAGAAACATAGTTGTACCTAGTCGTACCAGTTGTACCTAAACACAGATTCATACCTAATCAAAATATATAAACCCAGAAACATAGTTGTACCTAATCGTACCAGTTGTACCTAAACACAAATTTATACATCAACATCACACACAAGAAAACAGGCGATATTCATCATCAGAGACCAAAATAAGAGCCAAACTCTTCTCTTGCTCCTTCTCCTTCTCCTTCTCCTTCTCCTTCTCCTTCTCCTTCTTCCTTTCCTTCTTCGCCTTTTCTTAAGTATAAGCCATTGTAATTACTACCTGCAACAACAAATACAATTTCAATATCTATCTACTTACACAAACACAAACTCACATAATCTCAAGAGATAAAGTTTGGATTTTTCAACAAATATTAGAAAATCCGAAACACACTATTTGTATCTAAATGAAAAATTCAAACCCGAACATTTGGACAAATTCAAATCGGAAAACAAGACAAATTGAAATCTGAAAATCAATCCACAAATCAAAATCCTCAAAACCCAATACAATCCATCCATAAATCATCAAAACCCAACACACTCAAACAAAAGAAACCTTAATCCATTTGTTTCAAACTTTAATTAAACCAGAATCCAATTAAACCCAACACAACACAATCAATCGAAGGATCCTTATTAAACCCTCAAAAAAAAGAAAATAAACCTAATTCAATCGAAAACTCATTTATAATCCATCTGTTTCAAACAAAATCAAACCATTATTATACCCAACACAACACAATCAATCGCTCAAAGAAAAAAATCAAACCATATCTCGGATCAATCAAAATATATGGATCAAACAAAAGAATTTTTACAAAGAGAAGACACAGAAGATTTCTCACCGCGGATTCCTCGGATTCACGGTGGATTTCTCGGATTCACGGTGGCTATCTCAGATTCACGGAGAAACGAGTGAAGAAGAAATAGGAAGAAGATGGTATCGACTAAAACAAGAGGATCCAGAAGAAGAAAACGAAATTTTGGAAGAAGAAGATGAAGGAGTGCACTATGAAATCGGGAAATCTCAGTCACCGGTAGAGAGAAAAAAGAAAACGACGGACTGTCGAGAGTGGGAGAACTGTCATTTTTAGGATTAGGATTTGTTTGAGAAATAAGAGAAAGATCCGAAATTAAACCTAATTTTGTTGGATATTTGACCCAAACATAGGTTGGATCTGTAAATAAGTTGAAAACCCTCAATATAATTGTCTTTTACTAATATTTTGAATTAAAATAAATACTTATATAATTTTATTTTAGAACGGGGGCTAAGTAGAAATTGATTCCACCACAGGGGGCGATGAGATTAAAATCCTGTTTGGTCTGTATACACAATTAAACTTTGTATCATCAATAACTGTTCTTTTCTCATAATCATTTCAGAAAACTTATCTTTGTCTTTCTTCTTTTGGCAACATCATCATTTTTGTAATTATCTGAAATATATAACGAAACAAATTTAATTAAACACATATCAGGAATTGTATATGTACTGTTAAAATCTTAATACAATCCTATTTAAAAATATATTAATTCGGACAACTGAAGATTTATCTAAAGACATTGGTTTTCTAGCTAACAAAAAAATTAATCTGTCACGATTTGTGATTTGTTGATTAAAATAATTACAATCAAAATTTAGATCGGAAATTGGAAATACTTACCCATATAAGAACGTTTTCTTCACAATCATTTTTCAAGATCTCTGTACAAACATAAAATTCTAAAGATAGAAATTTGAATCAAAACATTTGAAAAAAAATAAAAGTCAAAATCTGATTCAATAATAACGTTACCTCTTTATAGATTCAGATTAACAAATGATAAACAGAGACGTAGTATCTTGGTTATCTAACAATTTTGCAAATCGATTCCTTTTACAAACAATCGGCTGAGAACTTTAGGGCATAGTTTTTTTTTTTTTTTTTTTTGTTCTCCAGGGCAGTATAAAGACGATAAGACCAAAGTTGGACTTAAAAATCTGTCCAAAAAAATCAAAATATAAACAAACATATACTACATGTATATCGGCCCAAACGGAATATGTATCTCGGCCCAAAAGAAATTGTTATGAGCTCCTTGATTTAAATTTGGGTATAGCATTTTTATGAATTACCAAATAATATTTTATAAACAATATTGTTGTATTACTAAACAATTATGTTCATTTTTAAAAAAATCTAATTTTCTATAAATAATCCAAAATACAATTATAACTATTACACTCACGTATTCTGCAACTGTCCAAAATAAAATTATATAATGATGTATGCAACTGTCCAGTATTCTGCAACTATTCACAATTAAAAACTAATCAAACAGATCAAAATAGATGTACCAAATTTTATTCAAAACATAAAATATAATTTTTCAATTTGAAATAATTTGATATCTGTACTATTCTCTAATTCCCAACAAAAAAAAAACAATTTGGTATATACTACTCAAAAAAAAATTGATTACAAGTTTTATACAACATATTTCTTAAAATATGAAATCCCGCACGTACGTACGGGTCCGGATCTAGTTGTAGTTATTTGAGGAGCATGTTGATAAAATAGATAATTATCTGTTTTTTACAGAAATTATTTATTTAACTCTCGTTATAGTTGTTAATAATTCATTTTATATGTTGGCTCACACCTCACATCTATAAAGTAAATTTATTTAGATAACTCTTGAATAATACAATTAATCAAGCGGTAGGTGTAAACATGTAAAAAAGCGTTGATATATATGTAGAAGTCAATTTGATTCTTTTTCGTATTGGAAATCTTGTTTTTCCATTAAAAAAAAATGTTTTTAATTATATATTTTCAATTACTAAAATTATTTGAAGAGTTTTTAAAAAAAGAAAATTAAAATATCGATTAGCAATTTTATTAATGAGGTTTGACATTCGGATACTAGATTAATTTAATCACTAAAATTTTAGAATAGTTTGACATATCTAATTGAAAAGAAAGTAGATGTGGTAAAGATGAGTGTGAGTGAATTAATTAGTAAACTAAATAAATAAAAATAATTGTAAAAACTAGAGATGTAATTTTTGGTCTTAGTTAGTATGTCTTGAAAAAGGTTAGGTGAAGCAAGTGTATGGAAATACGAAACATATTTTGTTTCACTATCCAGATTAAAAATATTGTGTTGAGTAGAGATTTTTATAAGGGCAATGAATGCAAAACATTCTCGTAACAAATTGAAAACTGTTGATCATACCAAAAAAAAAAAAATTGAAAACTGTTGAAATAATACTAAATGAAAGTAAATACCATTTATCATTCAAAACTGACATGCCGTTGATCCAGATACTGGAAATGAATCCAAAAAACAATTAAAAAAAAAACAAACAAAAAAACCGAAAAAACAGAACAAAAAATACATAAAATAAATGATAAGAATGGGTAACGAGTTAGCTTTTAATTAATGTGTGGTTGATAAAAAAAAGTTGTAGGAATATGACGAGATAATCTGTGTGTGAGAAGTTTAAAAATTAAATTAGATATTGTTAATTCGATCTTATTGTCATACAATCAAAATAGCATTATGAGAATAATAAATATCTAAATAAAATACAAATATTTTTTTCTTAGAAAGAGAAAATACATATGTTGACTTTAACTAACATGTTAAACATGTAATGGTGATTCAATTATGATGTGAAAAAGGCATGTCGACGTTGTAGTTAACATGTAAAAACATTTCTCTAGGTTTGGAGATATGAGGAAACTTAAGTTCAAAAAAAACAAAATTTGTATAATGCTAAAGCTATGTTTATTGTGTATGCCGTAAAGATCCATGGGGAGGACTATATGATCTCATACTCGATAGGGTGAGGGTTATTGCTGATAAGAAACATATGTGGCAAGGCAATTGTCATGTAGGTTGAGATCCTCAAAAACATGGACATAAAAACATGAAGTGGCAGAAAAATTTATTCGATTATGCTCCTAGCCTTTTATTTAGAATAACATATTGGTGGAAAGCTCACTCTTGGTGCTTAAGATGTTGTCTCTTAATGATTTTTCGAGAAACACCAGATATCATTGGAGCACACACTATGAATGCTCTTAAAGTAAGTGTCGCATGTTATACTCTCGTTGTGTTTTTCACTTGTCGTAGACATATCTTCGCTTTAGGGTTTCGGTTGAAGTTGGTTAATAAACGATGTACAATTATAAATTTATTTGGATAGATCTTATGAGATTTTCTATGAATATCTTAAAAGTTTATTAAGTGTCAAATTATAGACAAATCAAGTTTAAAGAGAGTATGTACTTCTCTTGTCATAAATTATAAAATAAAAAAAATAAAAAATTTAAACTAAAGTAAGAGTGTAGCTCCTAACTACAATTAGGGCAAGAGAATCACTCTCTTTCTCACTTTCTAAGACAGAAGCCCTTCAAAACTATAGGTCATTGTTTTTGTTTGAAAAACAAAATGTAACACCCCGGTTTCAGGAATATGGTGGTGCATGCGGAGAGGTTTAAAAGAATTGATTTGGCCACATATGTCACCAAAGTGCACTTATCTTTTCGGTCAACTGTCCTGAGAGAACTCCACAGTTAAGCGTGCTTGGACTGGAGTAGTTTCAGGATGGGTGACCTTCCGGGAAGTGATTGTCGGAACTGTGTGAGTGAGGACAAAACACAGGGAAAATACACTGGTAGGGACGGTCGGGGCGTTACAGAAGACACACGCAAGGGTGCATGAACTTCACATGAGGCTAAAATGATCAGACATACGAAAAATACAAACAATGTCATTGGGCCTTTTTTCATTTACCGTCCCTACCAATGGGCCCCACGTCCTCTCTCGGGCCCATGGGCCCATTCCTGTCCGACGGTCGTTCCGCTACGTCCGGGAGGCTTTAAAGACTTGTTTACCGACCCTACAAATCACCACATGATCTTTCCCTGTGTTTCGTCCTCACTCACACAGTTCCGACAATCACTTCCCGGAAGGTCACCCATCCTGAAACTACTCCAACCCAAGCACGCTTAACTGTGGAGTTCTCTCAGGACGTTTGACCGAAGAGATAAGTGCACTTTGGTGACATAGGTGGCTAAATCAATTCTTTTAAACCTCTCCGCATGCACCACCATATTCCTGAAACCAGGGTGTTACAATTCACCCCCACTAACAGATCGCAACGTCCTCGTTGCGCACCAAGACCATCACCCCCTACGGTGTGAGCCCTCTTGACTCCACACTCGTCTGGGTTCTGCTCTGATACCACTTGTACGCCCCGACCGTCCCTACCAGTGGGCCCCACGTCCTCTCTCGGGCCCATGGGCCCATCCCTGTCCGACGGTCGGTCCACTACGTCCGGGAGGCTTTAAAGACTTGTTTACAGACTTGTCTGCGGAGATGCGTTTACAAGTTTCTATTTTTATGCTTCATGATTCACTTGCATAGGATTAGATCTGTTTGCTTAGTGGTAATGACTTGTTAATTAGGATTGATAATATGATGATTGTTTTAGTTATTAGGATGATTGTGTTAATGTCATTAAGATGACAAGTCATTATATGTGTTATATGAAAAGTGGAATTACCATCTTATGAGATGATGAAAAGTGGAACAGTGGAAAAGTGGAATATGGTCTACATTGAATTGACGGGTTCTTTGTAGCTCAATAAAAGACTGACGAGTCCAGTGGAACTAGATAGGTTCAAAGGTCAGGGAAGATGATCGAACCTGGAATTAATGTGGAGATCTCGCTAAAGGCGAGAATGAGTTTTGTGTTATAGTTTGCATAATGGTGCAGCCTATATGAGTGTTGTGTCTTTTTCTATGTGATTGTTGATTGTTGTATAAAGGTAGTTTCGTGTATCGTATTTCCAGTGGGCGGAAAGGATCCTCTCACTGAGTAATTCTTTACTCACCCCTTTTTATCCTTTTTCCAGGTCAGGGTGAAAATCGTGATTAATCGCGCAAGTCCGTCTCGTTTATGGTGTATTTCGGGAACCTCGGGTTTATTTTACTTTATCGTTATTTTTTTTATATAATTCTAAACTCGTTTTTATTTACGTTTGAGAAAAGGTTTTCAACTATATTTTAGATTATTTAAGACAAGTTTACATTGAGTTTTTAATGAAAGAAAGGATTTCCGAAAAAGTATGTGTGATGAATTAAGAAAGTGGAATAGAGGAAAAGATAAGTAAGGTGAACGCACGCCGTCTCAATGTTGAGGGATACGGGTGTGACAGTTGGTTGGTGTCACGGTTTGCAAGTAAAGTAAATAAGAAAGCAAGTAATTAAAAAGCAAAGTAAAAGAAAGCAAGTAAACTTTAAGAGACAAACGTTGGGCATCAAGGGTATCGCAGGGGGTTCAATAATCGCTATCTAAGAAATACTAGAATTAGTTTTTTTTACTTCCAAGTCTCGGACATACGAAACACTAAGATTCGGCTTACCCTAGGTTATAGGATAAGTCGGCTAAAATCCTTATACTCCGTTACTCAACCTATGCAGGCAACGATGCATATATCAAAGCAATAAGATCAAGTTCGATTCTAGTCCATAAAGCCCTATAACTAAGTGGTGTGTGCTTGTTATAACACGATACACATTCGTAAGCTAGGTCTAGCGAATTAAGAAACCTTATGAGCAATTTAAACACTTGAGATCACGAGTTAGAACATGAATCTAACTACATGCATTAAGAAACAACTTACTTAGAAAGAATACAGTATAAACGATCAAACAAAACCCTAAGTATCGCCACCTAAACGATCGATCATATCCTCCCCTTTGATAAACCCTTTAAACCCAACTAGAAAACTACTCTAGCATGGTTAAAGAGATCATCAAAGTAAGGTTTGATAAACTCATAAGAAAGAGATGAATAAGAACTGAATAGGGTTTAGAGATTACTTCTTTGAATGTAGAATACAAGAGGTAAGACTTCACCTTAATAGATCTTAGAGTAAACAAGAGAAGAGAGACAGATTTGGTTGAACTTCATAGCTTCAAGGTCGATGGCTGCAGCTCTTGGCGAGGGCAGGGACGATCTTTATGAACACTTGAGAGGCGTGAAGAAGGCACGATGAAGCACA